CTGCCTCACACACTAGTAACACTGTCTCACACACTAGCAACACTGCCTCACACACTAGTAACACTGCCTCACACACTAGCAACACTGCCTCACACACTAGTAACTCTGTCTCACACACTAGCAACACTGCCTCACACACTAGCAACACTGCCTCACACACTAGCAACACTGCCTCACACACTAGTAACACTGTCTCACACACTAGCAACACTGCCTCACACACTAGTAACACTGCCTCACACACTAGCAACACTGCCTCACACACTAGTAACACTGCCTCACACACTAGCAACACTGCCTCACACACTAGCAACACTGCCTCACACACTAGCAACACTACCTCACACAGTAGCATCACTGCCTTACACACTAGCAACACTGCCTCACACACTAGTAACACTGCCTCACACACTAGTAACACTGCCTCACACACTAGCAACACTGCCTCACACACTAGCAACACTGCCTCACACACTAGTAACACTGTCTCACACACTAGCAACACTGCCTCACACACTAGCAACACTGCCTCACACACTAGTAACACTGCCTCACACACTAGTAACACTGCCTCACACACTAGCAACACTGCCTCACACACTAGTAACACTGCCTCACACACTAGCAACACTGCCTCACACACTAGCATCACTGCCTCACACACTAGCAACACTGCCTCACACACTAGCAACACTGCCTTACACACTAGCAACACTGCCTCACACACTAGTAACACTGCCTCACACACTAGTAACACTGCCTCACACATTAGCAGCAGTGCCTTACACACTAGCATCATTGCCTCACACACTAGCAACACAGCCTCACACACTAGCAACACAGCCTCACACACTGACACCCTAGCAACACTGCCTCACACATTGACACCCTAGCAACACTGCCTCACACATTGACACCCTAGCAACACTGCCTCACACATTGACACCCTAGCAACACTGCCTCACACATTGACACCCTAGCAACACTGCCTCACACATTGACACCCTAGCAACACTGCCTCACACACTGACACACTAGCAACACAGCCTCACACACTAGCAACACAGCCTCACACATTGACACCCTAGCAACACTGCCTCACACACTGACACACTAGCAACACTGCCTCACACACTGACACCCTAGCAACACTGCCTCACACAGACACCCTAGCAACACTGCCTCACACATTGACACCCTAGCAACACTGCCTCACACACTGACACACTAGCAACACTGCCTCACACACTGACACCCTAGCAACACTGCCTCACACAGACACCCTAGCAACACTGCCTCACACACTGACACCCTAGCAACACTGCCTCACACTCTAGGAACACTGCTTGACCTTGATAGTGTGAGCACCACCTTGGGAGTCCACATACGATGCTTCTCAGTGATAACAGTGACAGGTGGCGCAGCTTGTACCTGGCTGCTGCCTGTGTTTAACCTGCTGCTGTACGTCCCCAGGTGTCACCTCAGCAGACGGAGTTAGTGAAGCAGAGAACCTTGCTGGCAGACTGCAGTCCTGGACACCATTAAAATTAGAGAAGGTTTTGTCCGCTGGTTGTAAGCCTCTGACATAGATCTCTATCAAATACGTGGATAGTTCGTCCCAGAACTAACCTGCCTTTAGAGTCCTGAATAAAAACTGATGACAATAAAAAGGCTACAATATACCTGGTCAGACAAGTGACTAATGGAATTCATTCCTAGCACATGCAAGGTTATGAAAAATTGGAGAATGGGAAAGAAAACCAGAAAATTACAGGGGACCCCACTTTACAGCACTTTGCTTAACGGTGCTTCGCTAATACAGCGGTTTTTCAGTAGTTATACCCATTCTTCATTTATTCAGACGTTCTACACTATAAGCTATAAGTCTAGGCCGAAAATATTTAAAGTAATTAATGCGTGTACTGTATATGTATTGTAATAAAGTTGGCAAAATTACCGACGATATGTAAAGTAAAAGGACACAAGTGCAACTAATGTGACATTTTTAGTACACAGAGAACATTACATTGAAACAGACCTTCTCTATCCAGCCTCCAACAGAAATATTTGTCTAACCTATTTTTATGTTACCCAAGTTATAGCTTTTATATCCTTTTACTCTTGTGCGAGTTAATTGTTCTAACATATTGTATTACTTCGACTACTACTACTACTACAACTTATCTCACTACTACTACTACCACTAGTATTGCACCTCACTCTGAGCCTATATATACCCTCTGTGTCCATGTACTGTTTGTAACGGCTTGACAAAGCTCCTGGAGAGCGAAACGTTGCCACAATAAAAATGTCACATTAGTTGCACTTGTGTCCTTTTACTGTTGCTCACTTAATACATGATAGTTTAAACATGTTATCAGGTTTTTATATGCATTTGAAAGTGAAAAAAGGCTGTTTCACTTTACAGCAGTAACCCAGAACCTAACCTGCTGTATAAGTGGGGCCTGCCTATATAGAATCGGGAGACAGAAGTTACAAGTTCACTTAAGGACATCTAAGGGGGTGAACATAGTGGCCAGCATATCTCCTGAGCTACAAATCAACCGAATAATCTCTGCATTGAATGCTCATTTTGTGAATCTAATATCAACGTTCAGGACTCTCCACGAACATTTATGACCCTTTATACGACATAGTACACGAGGACCATCTTGGAGTTCCCAACACCAAAAGGGAAACCAGGACTGATAAAACTTACCTAGAAACTAGAGAAAGTGCAGAGATTAGCAACGAGACTAGTACCAGAGGTAAGGGAAATGAACCGTGAAGAGTAAATAAACTGAGCCTAGGAACAATAGAGATTAGAAGACTCAGAGGAAACATGAAAGTGGCATACAAAATATTTATTTACTGATGTAAATTACTTTTCGTAATTTTTGTTGTGTTTTTTTTTTTCAAAATATTCGTAGTAAAAAAAACACAACTTTAAGTAAATTAAGTACCTGTTTCTCGCCTGCTCGCGAGGCGGGGAACAGGTACACAAGGGTACAGTTGGACGTTACACATGATAAGTCACAGGGATACCAGGAAGATTTTCTCCAGCCTTAGAATGGTCAGGAAGTCAAATGACCTTGACGACTAAGTAGTGGAGGCAGGAACCATGCAGAGTTTTCAGCATAGGTGTTACAGGGCCCACGAGGCTAAGAGCGAGTAAATTGCGCGAGCTGCAAGTTAAGAGGCAAGGCCAAGAGCTGAGAACCTACTCCCGCAAGTACAAATAGGTAAAGACACACACACATCCATACATAGCTTTAAGAATAGGTGCAATATACGATAAGCCTCTTGGAACAGGCAGAGAGTGAACCTTGTAGCGATCAGCGAAGAGGCGGGGTCAGGAGCTGGGACTCGACCCCTTCAACCACAAACAGGTGAGTACACACACACTAATCAGATACAGCATGGCACTACCAACAGTTTCGTTGAATAAGGTCAGACCGGTGTATGGTAGACGGGGAACTCCCCTTCCTGCCCGGCCTCACAACAACCTCGGAAAAGGTCACATGATTTTATTTTTTATGTTATACATTTTGTACATCAGCAGTGTGCTGCTACACTATGAATCATAGTGAAGTAAGAGCGCACTGCGGATGTACACACTCTACATTGTGTACATCAGCAGTGTGCTGCTACACTATGAATCATAGTGAAGTAAGAGCGCACTGCGGATGTACACACTCACATTGTGTACATCAGCAGTGTACTGCTACACTATGAATCATAGTGAAGTAAGAGCGCACTGCGGATGTACACACTCTACATTGTGTACATCAGCAGTGTGCTGCTACACTATGAATCATAGTGTAGTAAGAGCGCACTGCGGATGTACACAGTCACAAAACCTACCGATGCTTCCTCTTATATTCCATCACGTTGAATGACTTTCATAAATCAACTATTGTCAGCCTGAGCTGGGAGACATGAACAGTGTCAGCCTGAGCTGGGAGACATGAACAGTGTCAGCCTGAGCTGGGAGACATGAACAGTGTCAGCCTGAGCTGGGAGACATGAACAGTGTCAGCCTGAGCTGGGAGACATGAACAGTGTCAGCCTGAGCTGGGAGACATGAACAGTGTCAGCCTGAGCTGGGAGACATGAACAGTGTCAGCCTGAGCTAGGAGACATGAACAGTGTCAGCCTGAGCTGGGAGACATGAACAGTGTCAGCCTGAGCTGGGAGACATGAACAGTGTCAGCCTGAGCTGGGAGACATGAACAGTGTCAGCCTGAGCTGGGAGACATGAACAGTGTCAGCCTGAGCTGGGAGACATGAACAGTGTCAGCCTGAGCTGGGAGACATGAACAGTGTCAGCCTAAGCTGGGAGACATGAACAGTGTCAGCCTGAGCTGGGAGACATGAACAGTGTCAGCCTGAGCTGGGAGACATGAACAGTGTCAGCCTAAGCTGGGAGACATGAACAGTGTCAGCCTGAGCTGGGAGACATGAACAGTGTCATCCTGAGCTGGGAGACATGAACAGTGTCAGCCTAAGCTGGGAGACATGAACAGTGTCAGCCTGAGCTGGGAGACATGAACAGTGTCAGCCTGAGTTGGGAGACATGAACAGTGTCAGCCTGAGCTGGGAGACATGAACAGTGTCAGCCTGAGTTGGGAGACATGAACAGTGTCAGCCTGAGCTGGGAGACATGAACAGTGTCAGCCTGAGTTGGGAGACTGCAGGTCAATGAGGATACCGTCAAGTATTCCACTAAGGCTTCAGTAGTTACATCATCCTAATTCAAAGGTTTCGTTCCAGCAGAGCTGGAGTTACTATCACAGGGAATATGAGCGTGTAGGATAGCCTCTTGGGCTCGTCACTGACCACCCACCTGTTGAATAACAACACAGTGCGGTTGTACTAAAATTTATTAAAAAAAATTACTATAAGACTTTATACATATGAAAGTAGTTTTTAAGTCATTCCATTAAACCAATATTATTCAGGTTTATTCTCGGAAATTTCCCGAGGTTGTCACCGTGAGTGGTAATTATTATAAGAGTTTCCTCCTACGTTTGAGGAAAGGGAGTTCTGGGAAGCAGGTTCTTTCCTTGAAGGAGTCTGTATCAGTCTCTCGCGTTGGCTCTTTATCGTTTTATTATTGAATCTCTCACTGTGAAGCTTTGCCCCCACCTGTGAGTATTGAGGTGGAGGCTTCCTTAGTTACAGAACCATCCTCCTGTGAAAAATAGGAGACAAGACCATAGTCTATCAGGAAGGTAAACTTTGCCAGTGCTGGACCACGTTAGCACTGTGTCCTCTAGCTCACCGCCTCTCCTTCATGTAAATTACCTTGTATTAAGAGCGCTTTGAGAATTGTTCCAGCAATAGTGTTTGGACTATTATTATTTGCTTTCATCCCTCGTCTGTTATTATGAACCTGTCGATGATATCTTTTCGAAGAGTGAGGGGTGGGCGGCTGTTAAGGGCGCTGTGGGCTGCGGGTGTGGGCGGCCTGGGTACCATGTACCTTGTAAGCCTGTCACTGCACTCCACACTGCTGCTTCCATTGTACTGCGAGTCAGGTGTGTGAAGAAGATACTGATGTAGCCAAATTTGAGGTCAGTCCTGTTTAGACTGTTAATCGAATACTGAGTAGAGAGGATCAGAAGACAAAATAAAGAGATACTCTCACAGTGCATTCGGATGCAATTACACGTTTCTTTTATAGCATCCCGAGTGTGTAAGACAGATGGGACTCTCAGATGTGTAGGACACATGTGAATTGCAATTAGGTAAGGTGGACTCATCCTCCAAGCTCAAGGACGTACCCTTCCTTTTACTCTTTCCGCGCAACCACGCAGTCTCCTCCTCTCCTCAGAGTGCGTCCAGATGGTGTGGGAGGGATGCGTGGCACCTGAGAGTCAGGTGATGCTGCGCCACATCCGGCGGCAGGTATTGGACCCACCACAGAAGCAGGTAGCAGAGCCCATCACCCCGCAGGAGGTGGACGACCCTCCTTGGTTCAACGTCAGAACGTGGATGGTCGCTGAGGGTGCCATCCGCCAGGTGTTTGCTCACAAAGTAGGTGACGGAGGTATGGTATTTTTCTTATACATGTCCCCTTTGAAATCCTAGACATTAAGGGTTTGATGGACACTTGGGTGGAACACTCATTGGCTGGGTTTGAGGCTGAGGAGAGACGCTGCAGGAGCGATTCAAAGAACATACAATCTTGATGCACAAGATACCTGAGAGGGAGGTAAACCAATAATCAGAAATAGAAAAAACACCTAGGGGTGGATATTGCATCAAACGTTTTAACTGAAGCCCACACAGCCAGAACAACATCATCTTCATGGAGACATTGTAATCACTGCACACGGCAAATATAAGAGTAGTAATGGAGGACACGACACCAGCATAGACGCAAATCAGTCAAGCATACAGAGCTGAGAAAGTCTATAGGTTTGTTACACGGTCAGTCCCAGAGCTGATAGGCTGGGTATGCTAGAGGATATATCACATTAGTTGCACTTGTGTCCTTTTACCTAACATTTTGTCGGTAATTTTACTAACATTAATAAAAGCAAGAGGATAGAACGGATAAGACATAGTCACAGCTCATAAGATCCTCATAGATACGTATAAAGTTGACAAGGACAGTCTATTTGAGATGGGAGAAAACAGAACGAGGGAAAACAACTTGAAACGACAAGTTCAAATTAGTCGAATGAGGGAAGTGAACAAATAGAATACTTTATGAAGAGATGTAGCGGAGGCTAAGTTGATTCAGAAGTAGAGATAATAATGACAGAACCCATGATGGCACTCACCAAGTTACACCTTCAAATAGTAGGTCAAGTGAAGAGTCTCAAGAGCTAGCTCTCAACTCCATACACCAACATTTTATTAAATATGATGTATATTTAATTAAATATTAAATATGAAATTTCCTTAAAATTTTTGAAAAACCTCAGGATCCCCTCTCATGTGTACCAGATAACCCCACTCACTCTCATGTGTACCAGATAACCCCACTCACTCTCATGTGTACCAGATAACCCCACTCACTCTCATGTGTACCAGATAACCCCACTCACTCTCATGTGTACCAGATAACCCCACTCACTCTCATGTGTACCAGATAACCCCACTCACTCTCATGTGTACCAGATAACCCCACTCACTCTCATGTGTACCAGATAACCCCACTCACTCTCATGTGTACCAGATAACCCCACTCACTCTCATGTGTACCAGATAACCCCACTCACTCTCATGTGTACCAGATAACCCCACTCACTCTCATGTGTACCAGATAACCCCACTCACTCTCATGTGTACCAGATAACCCCACTCACTCTCATGTGTACCAGATAACCCCACTCACTCTCATGTGTACCAGATAACCCCACTCACTCTCATGTATACCAGATAACCCCCACTTACCACTCACTCATGTATACCAGATAACCCCACTCACTCTCATGTATACCAGATAACCCCACTCACTCTCATGTATACCAGATAACCCCACTCACTCTCATGTGTACCAGATAACCCCACTCACTCTCATGTGTACCAGATAACCCCACTCACATCCTCATGTGTACCAGATAACCCCACTCACTCTCATGTTACCAGATAACCCCACTCACTCTCATGGTAATACCAGTACAACCCCACTCACTCTCATGTGTACCAGATAACCCCACTCACTCTCATGTGTACCAGATAACCCCACTCACTCTCATGTGTACCAGATAACCCCACTCACTCTCATGTGTACCAGATAACCCCACTCACTCTCATGTATACCAGATAACCCCACTCACTCTCATGTGTACCAGATAACCCCACTCACTCTCATGTGTACCAGATAACCCCACTCACTCTCATGTGTACCAGATAACCCCACTCACTCTCATGTGTACCAGATAACCCCACTCACTCTCATGTGTACCAGATAACCCCACTCACTCTCATGTGTACCAGATAACCCCACTCACTCTCATGTGTACCAGATAACCCCACTCACTCTCATGTGTACCAGATAACCCCACTCACTCTCATGTGTACCAGATAACCCCACTCACTCTCATGTGTACCAGATAACCCCACTCACTCTCATGTGTACCAGATAACCCCACTCACTCTCATGTGTACCAGATAACCCCACTCACTCTCATGTATACCAGATAACCCCACTCACTCTCATGTGTACCAGATAACCCCACTCACTCTCATGTGTACCAGATAACCCCACTCACTCTCATGTATACCAGATAACCCCACTCACTCTCATGTGTACCAGATAACCCCACTCACTCTCATGTATACCAGATAACCCCACTCACTCTCATGTGTACCAGATAACCCCACTCACTCTCATGTGTACCAGATAACCCCACTCACTCTCATGTATACCAGATAACCCCACTCACTCTCATGTATACCAGATAACCCCACTCACTCTCATGTGTACCAGATAACCCCACTCACTCTCATGTGTACCAGATAACCCCACTCACTCTCATGTATACCAGATAACCCCACTCACTCTCATGTGTACCAGATAACCCCACTCACTCTCATGTGTACCAGATAACCCCACTCACTCATGTATACCAGATAACCCCACTCACTCTCATGTATACCAGATAACCCCACTCACTCTCATGTGTACCAGATAACCCCACTCACTCTCATGTGTACCAGATAACCCCACTCACTCTCATGTGTACCAGATAACCCCACTCACTCTCATGTGTACCAGATAACCCCACTCACTCATGTATACCAGATAACCCCACTCACTCTCATGTATACCAGATAATCCCACTCATTCTCATGTATACCAGATAACCCCACTCACTCTCATGTATACCAGATAACCCCACTCACTCTCATGTATACCAGATAACCCCACTCACTCTCATGTATACCAGATAACCCCACTCACTCTCATGGATACTAGATAACCCAATTCACTCTCATGTATACCAGATAACCCCACTCACTCTCATGTATACCAGATAACCCCACTCACTCTCATGTATACCAGATAACCCCACTCACTCTCATGGATACTAGATAACCCCACTCATTCTCATGTATACCAGATAACCCCACTCACTCTCATGTATACCAGATAACCCCACTCACTCTCATGTATACCAGATAATCCCACTCACTCTCATGTATACCAGATAATCCTACTCACTTATGTATACCAGATAACCCCACTCACTCTCATGTATACCAGATAATCCCACTCACTCATGTATACCAGATAACCCCACTCACTCTCATGTATACCAGATAATCCCACTCACTCATGTATACCAGATAACCCCACTCACTCTCATGTATACCAGATAATCCCACTCACTCTCATGTATACCAGATAACCCCACTCACTCTCATGTATACCAGATAACCCCACTCACTCTTCATGTATACCAGATAACCCCACTCACTCTCATGTATACCAGATAATCCCACTCACTCTCATGTATACCAGATAATCCCACTCACCCCCACACAGAAGAGAGGAGTGTTCGTGGAGGTGGGAGCAGGTTCTGGTGTCTTCATGTCTCACACAGTTGGCTCGAATACGACGTAAGTGGTGGGGTTCTTCTGGTTGACCTAGCTAGAGGCCTACACTCCCTCCGCCTCCAGAAGGCTTGAGTGACCGAGTCTGTGTCTCAGACTACAGCCATAACAAACAGGTCAGCTCCAGCTTGTTTTTGTATCCACCTTCAGTGTATTTACATACACTTACTAGTGATGGTGATAATAATGATGGTGGTAGTGGTTATGTGGATGGTGCCAAAGCTTTCTCACACTCGGCCCACATTTACTGGGCCTTTCCTACACCTGCCTCTAAAAATTGCTAAATAATATTATAGGAACATGTAACATTTTTCAGAGTTTTGTCTCCACCTATGTAACACTCGATAGGCCTTCAGGCACCCGCCTCATTTCCTACATATAAAACTCCTTTCCATTTATCTCAATACCTACCGCTACTCACCTGACCCGCCAAACATGTGCTCCGGGGCAGGATGTGCTGTGGTCACCAGGCAAAACTGAGGACCTCTCAGACCACTACAGGAACATGGCACTCTCGAGGTCTACCCTCATGGCCTACGTAACCCAGGAGGTCAGTGCTCATCACCTGTTCTCCTGACGTCGTCTGACTACCTGTATGTTATTTCAGAAGCAGAAACGTGTGTCTTTGAGTGCCACGTCTTTAATCCTTAAGTTCCCTGATGATTACGGTACTCTTTTCCTTGTTTATATCATAGTTTATGTTCTGTTGGAGTCCTTTCCACCAGCCTGCCACTCAATGTACAAAAACTTGCTAGCATCTTTTTGGTACATTTTTTTTAGTTTACCCATCCCATGTTATTCTGACTCGTGTGCGTTTTGTACCGGAGCCTGAAAATACTATTAAAATGCAAACTTTTCATGATCTCATTTGTATGTTTGGGCGTGGAGCAGGACCAACAAGGGTCCCTGGCCACGCCCGTGCAGTGCTACACCCTCGAAGCCCTAGTGTGGGCGGCGTTTGGTCACCAGCGGCCCATCGACTTATTGGTGCTGGACACTGCCGGAGGGGAATACAAGATCCTCGATACTCTGCAGAGACTCAAAATTTCGGTAAGTGTAATTATAGTAGAAGATCTGTGTAGAATTATGTGTTGCCTATGTAGATAGCATATTTCTCTCTCACTCTTATTCTTTCAACATATTAACACACAAATGTTTTCATTCCTAACTCCGAAAGTTTTGCTGGCAAACAATTGTTCCTTTCAGCTTCATTTATCTACACATTACTCTATATAGTCTGGAGGAGAGTAGAGAAAAGTAGTGATGAGAATGTTAGAGTAGTGAGTGATTTATTGCTGACCTGACCCCTATCTCTCACCTAGTGTCTGTTGGTTAAGTACAACACTGAAGTAGACCGGACCTTCATCATGGCCTCAGCACGATTACTGAACCTGTACCCTCAGCACTCAGCAACCCTGCAGGCTGAAAGATTCCTTTTCTTCGTCAATCCTAGTGCCGGGTACAACATCACTTCCTGGGAGCGGCCTACTTGATTATACTGCATAGTGAGGATGGAACTAATAAACAGTTTATTGACCCCAGTGACTGATAACACCAGCATTGTATCTTCGCAATCGTGTTGAATGTGCATTGTGGTTCTATCATGTCCCTGCTTTTATACAAATAACTATTCCTTCCTTGTGATATAACGTTGTTATTAATCAAATATAGTTGTGTGAAGTGACTTTGTCGAGTGCTGAATGTCCTAAGATTGTCCTATGACAAATGCGTTGTCCTGTGTGATGGTGGTAGTGCTCATGTGAAACAGATAACCTGGAGTATACCAGCAGGATGTTCCGAGGGTTAATGCCCCGCAACCCGAACCATGACCAGGCCTCACGGTGGAGATCAGGGCCTGATCAACTAGGCTGTTACTGCTGGCCGCAATCAAACCGACGTACAAACCACAGCCTGGTTAGTTAGGTACTGACTTGAGGCGCCTGTGCAGCCCCCCTCTTGAAGACAACTAGAGGTCTATTGGTAATCCCCTTTATGTATGCTGGGGGAAGGATTAAAGTTGAACTTAAACAAATGCAGTAAAACCATTAAATAAGCATCCACACTTAGTGTCTGAAGGTCAGGTAAGCTAAGGTGGCTCTTTTTCTAATATTGTAAACTGTTTTATAGATTAAGGTAGCCGAACAATATAATACGCCTAATTCTGACAATAAAAATCGTCCTCTACACAGTTTATTGGTTCTGTTCACAAATAACCCATTCTTAAAAGGTGATACTTATGACAACATTTCGGTCCGACCAATGTCACTATCTAGTTAACCGACTGAACGAGAAACAGTCGAGAATACCTCCCACAGGTTGGTCAAGGGGTGCATGGTAAATGAAAGACCAGAGAACAGGTTGGGAAGAAGGAAATAGTAGTGATGATAGTGGTAGTATTACAAGTAATAATAGTAGTAGTGTAGTTTTAGTAGAACTGGTAGTAGTATTAGGATTACGTTATTGGTTATTTCCTGATGTGCAAGTCAGGTTGTCTTCAGTCTGAGGAATGATGTAAGATGATGTACGTCTGCACTTCTCTTTATATTTTGTTTTGTGAGGTTTCTGCCTAGTATTTTGTATTCGGGTAAAATAACAAGGAATTGATGACCGTTCCAGCAGGTAGATGGTGTTCTCTGACTGTACAGTTGATGTTGAAGTAGCGTGCATCTCCTTACAGTATAGCTAGCGTTCTCCTAGTTAGGGGGGGTAGACATTCTGACTATAGTCTCAGTTATTGTTATTATTGAAGTTAAGGGCTATTGAGTAAGCCCAAAGTAAATTTATAATACTGTGTATGATGTTACTCTTTGAGTGGATACACCTCGTACAGTCAGTCCTTCACCTGACCTCGTCTCTGAAGCACCTTCACCAGGAAGTTCTTCACGTGCCACCAAGGTAAGTAGCTGTCACGGGCACTTGTCATGATTGTGACCAGATCTACCTGGAGTTCATTTCCTTTGTAACTAGTTCAGCTATCAAAACTTTGGAGTCCAGTCCCTGGACCCATTATGTACCTCTGTAATCTTTTGACTCCCGCCCACAAGATGGGTATGGGGTGCATAATAATCATATTAAATTAAACTAAACTATTAGCTTTGGATTCATGCTTGTGCAGAGGCTAATATTTCTAAGAGCAATAGTGTATTTATTAATATTCCTGGAACAGAGCCAAGACTGCTATGTGTAACAGCTGCCCAAAATGCGTTTTAAAATTGTCTTTTTAGATCTTCTGGAGTTTACCTGGAGAGAGTTCCGGGGGTCAGCGCCCCCGCGGCCCGGTCTGTGACCAGGCCTCATGGTGGATCAGGGCCAGATCAACCAGGCTGTTACTGCTGGCTGCACGCAATCCAACGTACGAACCACAGCCCGGCGGGTCAGGTACCGACTTTAGGTGCTTGTCCAGTGCCAGCTTGAAGACAGCCAGGGGTCTATTTATAACTCGTCCACATAATTTGCAAGATTAAGGTCAAGGGACTACTATCTCATCATTGCCCTATACATCAGCTACGTCTGAAGACTGGGACTATCCTAGTGGGATTGTTTGTGTAATGAAAAAGCATATTACGCGGCAGTGCTTGAAAATGTCTCTCGGGAGGAAAATGTTCGCCTTACAGTGAAAGCACCACATGCTGGGGATTTCGTATTGGCTTTTCCTAATATCTTCCTGAGCAATCCCTTTGGCTCCCTGGTATTCACGGTGGTAAACCCCATATGGGTTTGGCGCTTAGCTGTGATTGTAATAATCACGGTATGACAGTTCTTTGACTAGTTCCCTTATCCTTACCGTTTACACATGTATCTGCGGTGATGCAACGGCTGGCCAGTTTAATCTCCGAGTCTTCACATCGCCTTCGATCATCATTTGTTGGTCATAATCAGTAATAATAAAAGGTTACTGTAACTCAGATGGAACTCAGATTGGATAAATGGGTTGGAGACTCAAGTAAAAAAAACTGGTTTTAACAGTCTGCGTAGCTGGAGAACACACAGAGAAGGATAACCAAGTTGATCCCACTTATCAGAAACGGAAATCTTTCCTACAAAGATAGTCTGAACATTCCTCTCTACAATGACTCCTTCCAGGCGCCTCTGAGCGGGTCATTAACTTATGAAGACCAACATCCAGACAATGGTTACTGCCACTAGACGTCAACCACACGTGTCTTATATCACTAACATCACGCTGTAGCACTGCAAGTCTTTAGGTCATTGCAGCTCTCCTTATGTCACCCCTTGCATTTTATGAGTTCAAAATAATGAATGTTGAAGACAGAATAAAACAACTGAAGTTAAATCAAGTTCATAAAACTGCTCAGTGTCCAGAATATCTTGCTGCCAATTTTGTCAAGGCTGAGAACAGGTCAATTGTTCTATCTAGGCTGGAATATTGCTGCACACTAACAGCACCTTTCAAGGCAGGTGAAATTGCTGACCTAGAAAATGTACAGAGAACCTTCACGGCGCGCATAACGGAGATAAAACACCTCAATTACTGGGAGCGCTTGAGGTTTCTAAACCTGTATTCCCTGGAACGCAGGCGGGAGAGATACATGATTATATACACCTGGAAAATCCTAGAGGGACTAGTACCGAACTTGCACACGAAAATCACTCACTACGAAAGCAAAAGACTTGGCAGACGATGCAACATCCCCCCAATGAAAAGCAGGGGTGTCACTAGCACGTTAAGAGACCATACAATAAGTGTCAGGGGCCCGAGACTGTTCAACTGCCTCCCAGCATACATAAGGGGGATTACCAACAGACCCCTGGCAGTCTTCAAGCTGGCACTGGACAAGCACCTAAAGTCAGCTCCTGACTAGCCGGGCTGTGGCTCGTACGTTGGTTTGCGTGCAGCCAGCAGTAACAGCCTGGTTGATCAGGCTCTGATCCACCAGGAAGCCTGGTCACAGACCGTGCCGCGGGGACGTTGACCCCCGGAACTCTCTCCAGGTAAACTCCAGGTAAAGCAATCATAGTTCTAGGGGGAGATAGTACAACATTGTAGTACCCACAGTTAGTGGCCAGGCTTCAAACACCTTTTATTGTACAGAAGTAAGGAATGGAACAGACTGCCTGCACATGTCACAGCCAGTCATAGCATGAACCAGTTCAAGAAGAAAACCAAAAGCTACCTAATGAATGTAGCGACAGAAAGAGAGGAGAATGTTTTTTAATTTTTTTTTAGCTAACACACATATAAATATAAATAACTCATTTTACCTTATTCTTAGTATATCTCATTTATAGTATAATAATAAGGAATTAAAAGGACCCCAATGGAAATAAGTAACTCTGATTTTTTTGTATTATCCCAGGTTCTCTAAACATATGTTGCTGTGTATGATAATCTATGTAACTGTATTTATGTATGCCGGAATAAACTTATTATTATTTCTTACTTACTTACTTAAGTCTTAAGTTCTGTTAAGGAAATTAAATTATCGATGTTCTTGTTTCGGTTCTGAATCGACATTGTTTACAATTTTGTGGGTACACTGTTGTGTATAATTATTTTTAATGTAACTATAGTACACGTAACCTTCTCTGCACGTGTACTGAAATTCACTTACAAAAAAATATTGATAATAAGTAAGTTACCCTGAGCAGGGAACACAAGACGCCATTTTGTGATACTTTACGTTCTCTTACTTTAGTAACTTTAAACCATAGAAAACTTAACGATTAGTGCGTAACTTTAATAATTCTACGCAAACATTGTTATGCTAGAAAAAGATAATTTGAGTTTCACTTACGTTCTTTCCACGTGAATTTACGGATTATTAAGCATTCATATAATGATTGTGATAAACATATACTAATTACAGGCAGAGACTGGTGGAAAAGTCCTCAGATTTAACATAGGATAACGAATATATGTTTCCTTAAGACATTTGCTGTCCATGTTCACCTATTAGTAAAACAGGTACCTGGCTGTTAGTCGACTGGTGTGGGTCGCATTCCGGGACAAAATTTACCTAATTTATCCGAAATGCTCTGCATAACAAGGGGCTTTCTATATAGTATTGTATTATTGATGTCAGCTAGGACTGTATACTTTGTGGTGACCCCGTAGCCTGGCTTCACACGCGAAGGGCGCGGGTTCGATTCCCAGTGGGGTAGAAACATTTCGACGCGTTTCCTTACACCTGTTGTCATGTTCACCTAGCAGCAAATAGGTACCTGGGTGTTAGTCGACTGGTGTGGGTCGCATCCTGGGGGACAAGATTGAGGACCACAATGAAAATAAGTTAGACAGTCCTCCACAAAGCACTCACTTTCTTGGGTTATCCTGGGTGGCTAACCCTCCGGGGTTAAAAATCCGAAGAAAATCTTATCTTACATGTACTTGTAGAAATGAAGATATTATCATTATTAATATATCCACATAGCATAGCTTTTGTTAAGGCATATATTTATTCCGTATTAAACACATTATATAGTAAAGATAAAAGGAAATCCTTATAATTTTAGTAACAATTTGTATTTAGTTATTGTTACTACTGTTATTATAGTTATGGGGAAGCGCTAAACTCACATGTTAAGCAGTGCCTGAAGGTTGAGAAACCAAAAAAATTGATTCGAGAAAGGTAAAGGTAGCTCCATTTCTTTGTATCAAGGACCTTTCATCATCAAGGCACCCTTGATATTTTGTTAAATGTGTTTAAAGTGTATCGGCCACTCA